GATGCTGCTGGTGGTGTCTGTGGATGGCCGCCAACCTCTGTTTGGCACTCGCCCCACCACCAACAGTGTCAGTGGTGTCTGCAGGAGCTCCCACTTATTGCCACCGTGCCCCCTCAGTCTCCGGGCTCTCCCAGCTGCCGGAGGTGCGCGTCATTCATGTAAGAAAGTGTATAGAGTTATCGGATCAAGTGCAAAAATCATGCACCTAGGGATCATTCCTAGAAATCCTGCTATAAGAAGGAGGTGCAAAGACTGAAGACGTCTAAGAAACGGAGGGACCTGGACCCTGGTTAATTATAAGATGACCAAGAGTCACCAGTGGGGTGTGGACATTAAAAAACCCAAAGCCATCCAGGGTATATTACTCAGGGTATTTTTACTGGAGGTAGGAAAGCACTAGTACCACGGTTATTTCATAGATTTCATAGACATTAGGGCCGGAAGGGACCTCAGAAGATCATCAAGTCCGGCCTGAGTTATAGATGTTACTAAGATAACATCGAGTTATAGATGTTACTAAGAGCCCAGTTAGAAGCTGTTGATCAAAAAAGGTGAATTGAAAAATGTACAGATACATAGACATGCTACAAGTAGGGTCAGGAGACTCCAATAAGGATATTGAGAGAGGTTGGCTTGTTTATCTTAACAAAATGAAGGCTGAAAGGAGATATGATTGCTTTTTATACATGCATTTGCAGAGTGAATAGCAGGGCGAATAGCAGAGTCTAAGTGGTTGTCTCATTTCAGAGATACCCCTCAAAATAGATGCTCAAAGGCAGGTAGGGATATATAGGGAGGATGAATTGGTGCAGTTGCACCCCCTTTGATTGCTGGTCCAGCCAAAGTTTAAAACCAACTCTGCGGCAGTGGCAGTAGCATTTCTATCCAAGCAGGGCTGAGGGAGCCACTTGACTTCATGGCTCATTGTAATCTACCTGATTCCTTCTAAACTCTTAATTCCACAAATGTTAAAGACTCTCTGGTCTTTTTAATGGTCTTGATGTTCCACTAATTAAGCTGGCCTCTCTTCTGCAATTCTGCTGCTTGCTGCTCCTGGTAATGTAGCTCCTATTTCACACCCCCTGCAGACTGCATTTAACTCTAGCTAAAAATGTTAAGTCACATATGGAAACACTAACTTAGGTGTGGAAATAACTGTCCGTGAAGCATTGGATGCACTATCAATATTTGTGCGTAGGTTGTTGTGTTTTTGTCCATAATGCACAATACAATAAATTAATGCACTAAAAATAAAGTTATATTTGTTTTTATTTTGTTCTTGAACTAAATAATTTAGCCCTAAGGCCCTAGCAGATTAGTAAAGCTTCCACGCTCTATTTGCCTGGAGTATAATGTGTTTTGTGATGGTCCCCCACATCACCTGCACTACCCCCCCGCTTTCAAAATCTTAGATCCACTCAGGCTCAAAGGCACCTAGTTAGATCAGCTCTGATGTCCACAAATCCAGTAGAAGTTTTTATGCTTTTTCCAAACCTGTTCTGACGATCCCCTGAGTTTTTTGACTGCCCCCACCCAAATTCTGCAAACAAATTTGGGGTCGGACTGGATGAACTAATAGGTCCCTTCTGACCCTAACATCTATGTACCTTATAACATCTATGAAATAGTCTCAAAGGGGCATTTGCTCGGCATCACAAGGAATGCAGCTTAAGTGCAAATAGTCTAAGAAATTAAGGGCATGGAGTAGCAATGGGTTAATGTTTGCAGGTGTTATTAAGCACTAGGTGTTATTACTGCAGTCCACAGCCCTGAGCTTGACTCAGTTATAGGACAATGTTGTTGCTATTTATTGTTGACATTATGGCAGTGTCTACAATCCTCTGCCAAGATCATTGCCCCATTGCTTTAGACACTACACAAATACATAACCAAGGAGCTGAGGTGTAGAACCAGGGGCTTTTAGATAGTTAGCTCCTAATTAGCTGCTGGATTCCCCTGGAAATCAAAGGAAATTTCAGGTATAAATGGCAGATGGGCGCTTTGGTGGACCTGGACATTATGGTCTAAACAGATAAAGGGTGGAAGAGGAAACACAAGCCCAGTGAAATGAAGTCCATTCTGATCATAGGAGGACCAAACTTAAACAAAAAACACCACACACATTGATATTGATGCTAGGGGTTTACTTTTAAGGTAGCCGTTTTAACTCTTCAGAAAGGATGATTTGGTGTCTGGTTTTTCCACCTCTCACAGTAAAGCTTTTCTACAGCACACATGAGTAGATAAACACCATCCAATTATACGTTCCTCTGGCTTGCAGGGAGTGTGCCGGCAATTACTGTCATTCCTCTTACAGTGGGTGGGCCGACAAACACCACGCTTCCATCTGCAGTGGGCTGGAGATTCCCCTAACTTAGGACCTGTGGGGAGAGAAAATTAACTTTACTCAATTAATTACACAGGAAAAGGGCAAAGAGAAAGGAGGGATGCATTCAAGTCAATGCCGATGCTGTACGTTGCTTCAGCTGTTGAGTGAAGCATGTGGCTGCATTTATGCATAAAAGGAGCAGGCCAAACTGTGTTCACAATTGGAATCACAGAGAAAGAGAGTTGGAAGGACCACCACGAGGTCATTTGACCCTTCCTGCTCCTCACAGCACTATTTTCACTGTCTAAACCATTCCCAAAAAAGTGTTTTCCTAACCTGCTTTAATGATCTATCAAGGAAAGAGATATCATGCTTGAACCAGGGTAAATGCCTCACCAGCATCTATAAAGTATTGGTGAGGGGGAAGAGTAGTCATCTAAAGGACTATTGTAGCACAAGAACATGGGGTATATATATATTCCCTACCGGGAATGTGGGGCTGGGTTTTGAGAAACTATTTTGATAAGAAAGATGAGCCATTTGGAGGTGAGTTTACAATGGAAATTATTAATGAGCAAAGAGCTGAGACCCTGGAACAGCTTTCCAAAGAAGTATATACTGAAATGCAGATATGCACATGCACACACACACGCGCGTACACATGGACACACACATACATATGCAAGGTTGCGGCTGAATACATTTAGGCACATGAAGCTTGTGATGCCGAGGACTGAGCAGAATGGCCCAGGAGGTCCCATTTTTTTCCAGTTGAGATGGGCCGATAAAAGGAAGGGGTGGAAAAAAAGGAGGCAATTATCGGTAACAGAACTGTCTGATATTGCCATCACTTTGAAAACATATAATTCAGTCAAATTCTGCACACCGCCGGTTGTCCACAGGTGAAGAGTTCTCTTGGTTTTTGACACCTTTAATTTGTGATAGTTTTCCCCTTGAGAATGTCCCACTACTCTAGCAGTTACCGGCACGTGACAGAGATGTAAGTCCCGTCTTACACTGTGAGTATGTCTCCCTTAGGCAGCCCCAGAAGGACTTGTAAAGGCTGATTTGGCAATAAAAAATATCAACGCTTGGTAGTGCTGGCTTACAAATGACTTTTGGAAAGGCCAGGGATCTCTCAAGTCACCTCTTTCACTACAGCTTCTTCAACAGCTCTCCCTAATCAGTCGCCGTGTAGCTCCTATGGCCAGCGTAATCAGTGCTGGATGGGATTTTCTTTTATTTTCTCTCATTTTAGGATATTATAGTCACACATATCACTGCTCCAGCATATAACTGTGCTTCCTAGGAAACTGGAGTTTTCTGGTTTCCAACTATAGTTGTGCCACTTATGCGTAACATTGCCCTTGCCCAGAGAGAGGACCCTGTCTATCCTTAATGCCCATCTCACATTAATCTCTATTGCTGTTCCTCACCTGGAAAGTCCATACCAGTGGCATCCTCTGCTTCCATGACCTCGGTCTCAGCTTCCTCTTCCATCTCATCCAGATCCTGTGGTTCAGCTTCATCCTGTGCTACGACCACGTCCTGAGCCTGGGCCTGGAAGACCAAGGTGGTAACCCCCAAGAGAAGGAAAAGGAGCTTCATGGCCAAAATGTGGCAGGGATCTCAGGTGTCTACAGAGAGAGAAGAACCAAAGACAGACTAAGGTCCTGTGTGGTGCATGCATGGAGAGCCCCTATATTTATGTATGTCACTAAGCAGAGGGAAGGAGCATGCGGGGAGATTTCAGACTGTTTCATGCCGAGATGATGATAATGAAATTGCTCCAAGCCCCCTTTGATGGTGCTTTGATGCTGTAGCCATCCCCTATCTGCTGACTCTAGATGTTGCTGCTAATGATCCCCCAGCCTTTCATCTTGTCCAATATTTACCTGATATTGCGCAGATGTCTCATCTGTCTCCGTGCGTTTCAGGAAGATGATGAACGCCGTTGTCTCTCCTCTTCTAAGGACAATAAAGGCAGTGTCTGATGACTACTGCTATCATCCTGGGGCCATATACAACAGGTGGAGCCCAGAAGGCTGGTAGCAAAGAGGCTCTTTGCCATTGCTATGTTTTCGGAGGGTAGCTTGCCCAAGATCCGAACACACTTGTGGCAGCTGATGGTCACTGCTAAGTCACAGTGCCTTGCAAGTGTGCCTGTGGTCAGTCTGTGTCCCTGAGTAGTGCCAATGCAAGGCTGATAGGATGTCCCTTGTTGCACCCCGTACCTGCCCTTCTACCCCATGCCTATGCCCCTATCAGTGCACGTGTACCATGCACTGCCTTAGTAAGGTAGCAAGATTGCATTAAGTTATGAGTCAGGTCCCCTGGATCCTGTTCCTGGTTCCACCATCTCCTGGTGCAGGACCTTGTTTAGGACTATTACAACCACATCCAAGAAAGAAAATCCTGATACCCAAAATATGACAGGGGTAGAATTTGGCAGGACTGAGCACATCAGTGCTAAAACCGAGCTAGGAATTAAGCCTTTTCTGCCAGAGGGTGGACATCCACACAAAGACCAATTGCAATTTTCATAGTGTTAGGGTGATGTTATAGTAGTCATAGTCCAGGAAAAAGATGAGAGGTAAGGATTGTTGTGGGTGATATCTTTTACTGGGTCAACTGTATGGTTGTGAGGGACAGAGGCAAGGTTTCGGGTACCACATTACCCTTCCTCAGGCCCCTGAGAAAATTGCAGTCTTCACTTTTACCTGGATATGTCCTTGGATATGGTCTGGCCCTAATCCACCCCTTGTCTCTGTCTCCTCTCCTCCACTTTATGGACAGAATTATATTTCCCATTGAGTGCCTATGTGGCAGTTTTCTAGGCATGCTTGTGGCATGGTTGTCATTTATATATAGGTAGCATTTCTGTTACCGCCTGTGCTGTAGATGTGTAACCGTGTGCCCACAGACTGAGCACACAACAGCCTGTGCACTGGCTCAGCACGTATGTGACTACATAGATTATCAAATCCCCCTGGTCAATAGGTGTTGAACAAGAGAGGAGATCCTGGCCAGGATTTAGCATGAAGACCCAAATGATTAAGCCAGTTGCTTAAGTGAGTCACGGGGGGTGGGGAAGGGGCTTGAGCCGATGCCTTCCTGATTTCCCAGCAGGGTACCAAGCCACCACATCACACCTTAGGCAGAAGGTCGGCTCCTCTCTGGTGGTCTTTATGAAGCTGGGTCCCTAGAGATCCATGATGAGAGATACAGGACCAAGAAATGGACCACAAGGCAGAGGGTTTGTGGCTCAGTAAGGTGGCATCTCCTATGGAAAGGAGCCAGCCCTGAGTCCTAGCCTGGACCCTTGCTCCTAAAGGGACTCTGCTGCTCTCCATCTATTTTAGCTAGTTACTATTAAGCGCAACGTGCAGCAACTGAGCTTCAAGAGGAAAGCTGGGGAAAGGGTCTGCACGCTGCCTGACCCCTGGTAGACAGGTTAGAGCACTTTAATAAGAAGCTGGAGAGCTGTAGCATTTAGCTACAGAGGTTTCCCAGGAAGGTGCAAGAACTGCTCAACTGTCAGGGGCAAAGCTAAGCCCTTTGTGGAGCTGGCTTTGGAGTAGGACTACTCTCTTGCTGTGTGTGTGACTGCTATAGCTATGGCCCGGGGAAAGGGCAGCCCCTCAGGTCCTAGGCAAAGGACACATTAACACTGCTGCAAGATCAAAGCTAGTCAAGGTCCTTCAAAGAATGGGAAAGGGAAGCTAATAATGGCGCGTGCAGTGCCTTTTACCAAGAAAAAAACCCAAACCAGTATCAGATGGTAAGATCATCTCCCAGCAAGGCTAGGGGTTAGATCATATGTCTGGAGTGGGGAAAGGACAAGTGAGGGGTTAAAATATCTGGATGTTTTTGAGGCTGTAGGGCCAGAAGAGATTCATCCTACAGCACTCAAGGGATTTGCAGAGCCATTGGCTATTATCCTCAAAAGTGCATGGAGATTTCATGGAGGCCAGCTGAGGTCCCAGAGCCTGGGAAAGGGCAAAGATAATGCCCATCACCAAGGAAGAGAAGAAGGAGGACCCAGGGATCAATGACCTGTCAGTCTGACCTGGATACCTGGAAAGATAGCAGAGCAGGAAAAAAGATGATGTCTAAGCACCAACCAATAGCATGGGGTAACTAAGAGCAAGTCATGCCAAACCAAGCTGATTTCCTTCTCTGACAAGGTAACAGGATTGTGTGACATACCTTGACAGTAGCAATGATTTTGAGTCTGACTCCCAAGACCTTCTTACGCCATCTAGGGAAATGCTGTCTACCTGGATGGGCTATGAGGTGGGTGCATAACTGGCTGGATAATCATGCTCAAAGCATACTCACCAAAGTGTAAATACAGAGGTAGCAAGTGAGAGTCCACTGGAGCTGTCCTGAGTACGTCACTATTGAGTATCATCATTAATGCCATGAGGAGAGCTGCATTTTGTAACTATTGCCCAGTGTGAGTCTTTGAGCCTTTTTCTGGATCTCGTAAGTGGAAATGGTCACAGGCAATAAGAAGAATGAATTGATCATGGCCCAGATGTTGCTAGAGCAGTGGGAACTACTCACTAAAAGGAAAGGCCAAAAATTAACGGGGGTGATTAAAAGACCCAACATTTAGTTGTGCAAAACAGTAATGTGTTTAGTATATACCCATCAAAATAGAGGACAAAATGGTCTTTGGTGATCAGTGACCCTGTGATTAGAAAGAGCACGTTTCAGTGAAACATACTTCATGTCTCAACATATCCTTGTCTGTTAATAAGCTTGATGGACTAATGTGGGGTTGTGAATGAAATAAATGGCGACTTCGATTTCAGCTGATGGTGACCACACATCCCATACCAGTTCCTAGAAAAAACTGAAAGGACCATTGATAATTAAAGGCAGCACATTGAATTGGCTGAGGTGGATTTATGCCAAGTGACCGCTTCAGTGGAGGAAAGCTTGATTCTTGATGCACTGTTCATCATCTCCTCTGTCCCATCGTTTCGTTGGCCAGGTTGAATTAGGAGCATAGGGTGTGGGACCAGAAGAGAGCTCCTTTGTCCTCAAGTCCTATTGAAAGCATCCTTTTTCTGAACTCATAAAACTCCTCCTAAAGCAGTTAGATTATATGTGTGCAAGCTGCTGTTGGGAAGTGCCTCTATACCCTCGATACTCTGCTAGGTAGAAACCTATCTCTAATTAATTGTGGCCGGCTTACACCCAACAAGAGACTGTCTGTCCCATAGATTAAAATCTTCTTCCACTATACTTTTTAACCCCTGGTTGTTGGTTCCACAGGGAATCAAACCCAGACCATCCAGCAGAGGCTAAGTCCTCAACACCACCAGTCAACCAGTCAGACACTAACCCCAGTCCCTCCCATGAGACTATTGACTAGGAGTCAGGTGATCAGGATGAACCTATAGGAACTGCAAGCCCCTAACAGGGAGACTATAAAGCCCCTCCTACTTCCTGTGGGATTTGTTCTAGTAACATCACTTGTGTGTGCACTTCTTGGACCTTTGCCTTGTTCCTGTTCGCTCCCGTCTGATCCCAGCCTTGCCATAGTCCCTGTCCCTGCCTTGTTTGGACCCCCTGCGTCTGATCTACCATCTGCCTGGACCATGACACCGCCTCCGACCTTTGGGGGTCAGATTTGATAGTCCACTGAGGTCCCTTCTGCCCCTAAACCATCTATGAAGTCAACCCTTGCAAGGTGATTCAGACTGCAACAGATACCTGGTGTGACCCCAGCCTACTTGCAATAATGCAATAAGTGTCTGCCCACAATCCGGTTGATCCTGACACTAATGTCTATGCAGACAACATCGACATCACCTCTCACCATCTGCTTTGCTTGGGGTCCTACATCACAGTCCTTCCCCCATAGGGCTACAGTGCAGGGGCTGGATGGGACATACTGACTTGGAGCAGAGGCAAGTCCTATAAGCAATGCGTTCTAGCTGCTCTGGGATGTGGGGTGCCCATGGGCAACCAAGCAAGGCTGCTAGGCTAGAAAGATGTATCAGGAATATCAGACAGGTTATGCTCCTGACTAGCAGGTCCTCTGGCTAAGCCAGAGTCTAGAAAGCCAAGAGAAGACACAAAGCCACTTTGGTAGTCCCCAGCCAAAGCTACACCAGCTTTACTGGCTGCATTTGAGTCCACACCAGAATCTCACCCTTTGGTTTAGGTTGTCCTAAGAACATTTGTCTCTTTCCTGAGTCTGAAGGGGGACAAAGTTTCCCTCTGATGTGCCATCTGCATAACAGCAGGTAAAGCTTGAGACAGATGCAGAGCTGGATGGATCACAAGCAATAAAACTAGTGTCAATAGACAGGGCCTTTTCATCAGGAGACAACCTTCACTCCAAAGCAACATCAAAGGGAGCTGAAACAATTTCATGATCCTGTTCCCTGCATGAAATGGTCTGAAATCTCCTGTGCTCTCTTTGCCTCTGTCCTCTCGCCGCACAGACTTTGCACCTGTCTTTGGTTCTTTTCTCTATGCAGAGACATGAGCTCCCAGCCATGTTTTAGCTGTGAAGTTTCTCTCCTTTCACTTGGGTGTTGCCTTCTTGGTCTTACAGGCCCAGGTTCAGGATTGAGGTTGAGGCAGAGGGTCTAGAGCCGATGGAGCCCACAGCCAAGGATGAGGTCAGGGATGTGAACATGGGGGACGAGGTAGACGT